GTCATAAATATTGTTATTAATTGTGCAGTTTGATGCTGAAGACAAGTTATGTCATAAATATTGTTATTAATTGTACAGTTTGGTGTTGAGGACAAGTTGTGCCATAAATATTGTTATTAATTGTGCAGTTTGATGCTGAAGACAAGTTATGTCATAAATATTGTTATTAATTGTGCAGTTTGATGCTGAAGACAAGTCATGTCATAAATATTGTTATTAATTGTGCAGTTTGATGCTGAAGACAAGTCATGTCATAAATATTGTTATTAATTGTGCAGTTTGATGCTGAAGACAAGTCATGTCATAAATATTGTTATTAATTGTGCAACTTTGATGTTAAAGACAAGTTATGTCATAGATATTGTTAGTAATTGTACAATGTGATGTGGAGAACAAGTTATGTCATAACTATTGTTATTAATTGTACAGTTTGATGTGGAGAACAAGTTTGTTGTATTGCTAATTATAACAACTGATCAAACACATAAAATGAAAACAATATCATTTTTATGCATTTTGTATCCAGAAAAAAAATCTGATAACAAATTATTGTTTATGACACATGTTGTTACAGCTTTTGCATAATATAGTATTTAAAGTTTGAAGATCAGAAACTTAAGTTTGACTACTGGGGATATCAAAAACTTAGTTTGACTACTGGAGAGATCAAAAACTTAGTTTGACTACTGGGGAGATCAAGAACTTAGTTTGACTACTGGGAAGATCAAAAACTTAGTTTGACTACTGGGGAGATTAAAAACTTAGTTTGACTACTGGGAAGATCAAAAACTTAGTTTGATTACTGGGGAGATCAAAAACTTAGTTTGACTACTGGAGAGATCAAAAACTTAGTTTGACTACTGGGAAGATCAAAAACTTAGTTTGACTACTGGGAAGATCAATAACTTAGTTTGACTACTGAGGAGATCAGTAACTTAAGTTTGACTACTGGGGAGATCAAAACTTAGTTTGACTACTGGAGAGATCAGAAACTTAAGTTTGACTACTGGGGAGATCAACAACTTAGTTTGACTACTGGGGAGATCAGAAACTTAAGTTTGACTACTGGGGAGATCAGAAACTTAGTTTGACTACTGGGGAGATCAGAAACTTAAGTTTGACTACTGGGGAGATCAGCAACGGACTTTCAACAAGTTATCAGAGTCTATATTTCCTTGAATCTGATCCTGATGAAATATATGTCAGATAAATATCAAATGAAAGAGAAGATGAATGTCATAAAGAAGGAAACTAGAACGATATTTCACAACAAAGGAAAAGGAACAGTAAAACATAGAAAAACAATGTTAATTGTCTGTGAGTGAAAGAAGATGTGTTTATGAAAAGAACGAAAGATACCAAATGATCTAAAAGATTTTTTACAAGTTCGAAAAAAAACAACAACAAAAGGATAGAGAAAGAGAGACCGAAGGAAAAGTGCCAGAAAACGAATTATAGAAAAGTAATAATAGTTTCACGCATCCAGACTCCTGCCTTTTAACATTAACAAACTTCAGACTTTCGGAACGAAGTATCGTGTGGTTTCGAATCTTGTAAAATGTGTTTCTTAGAACTTCGGAGAAAACTACTGGCCCGTTCCCAAGTTTAAATCTTATTTTTTATTTTAATGATGTATAAAAAGAGCGAGTCATCCTATGTACGGGACAGTCATGCGCGTATATATATGTGTGTGTGTGTGGAATTATAACCCTAAAACCAGCATCTAAGGAAACTTGCTATAAAATTTAGAAACAAAACAAAATATTTGAAGCTACCGAGCGAATAACGTTTAACAATTATATAAATGAAAGAGCAAGACTTCTGGAAACTGTACAGAGCCGGACAACTGACCACTGGTTTTCACTCGAAACTAAAAAAAAAAAACCAACTACATAATTAAAGGGATACAATATTATGACTTTACCCTTCTGATTACGACTGATTTGTGAAAACAGTTTTACTCAAGGATTTGTTTTAGTGTAACAACAACAACAAAACGCTTCAATTAGCAAGCTGCGACAAACCAGTCACAATAGCTATTGCTATTCTGGTTCTCAGTATAGAACTGCGTTCTTTTTTTGTAGGTAAATTTCCGACGTACACAGTCAATTATTCTACTGTAAAACTAGTTTTTGTGTAAAGAAAAATTCGCAGGATTTGCTATTGTCTCGCTCATCACAAAACACGCAGGAATTTCACAGTTGTTTATATATTTAACAATACGTTGTTTGTTTCGATAACAATGCAATGAGAATAAATCTATATCAACAATACCGACAGGTCACTATGGTAACAGCATTTTATCAAGAATGTTGAAATACTTAGGACTAATTTAGTAACTGATTGTTAAATCTGATATATATATATATATATACATGTGTGTGTTTGAGACAACAGCATGTTGAAACATAAATCACAGATACCTTTTTTTCCCTCAAACGACAGTTTTTGAAATAGTTTTCCGTAAGGCAGCTGAACAATTAAGAAATTATTAAAATGATCCCGTATTATATCGGACTGTTGGTAATCTTGATTTTTTTTATGATATATTTTACAAGCCAGCGAAAACTAATTATAATTGTGCATGTCATTAGACATTAGTATTAGGTATATTACACATTTAAACAATACATTCTGTATCTAGTCCCTTAGGGATTTTCAAGAGTTAGAATAATATTCCAAACATATTATATTCGTCATACCATTGTCGACAACGCGTTTCGCATACTCAAGAGCTTCTCAGGCTGGATGGGATACAATAAACACAGCAGTGTCAGAACACTATTTATATAATTGTTGTATCATAACAAACAATAAATCGACAGTGCCGTCCACCTTAACATACGGAACACACTAAATCACAGTATCGTCTTTAACATATAGAACACTTTACATCGACAGTGTCGTCCATTTTAACGTACAGAACACACTAAATCACCGTATCGTCTTTAACATACAGAAGACACTGAATCACCGTATCGTCTTTAACGTATAAAATACATTACATTGACAGTGTCGTCCACCTTAACATACGGAACACACTAAATCACCGTATCGTCCACCTTAACATACGAAACACACTAAATCACCGTATCGTCTTTAACATAAAGAATACATTACATTGACAGTATCGTCCACCTTAACATACGGAACACACTAAATCACCGTATCGTCTTCAACATATAGAACACATTACATCGACAGTGTCGTCCATTTTAACATACAAAACACACTAAATCACCGTATCGTCTTTAACATATAGAACACACTAAATCACCGTATCGTCTTTAACATAAAGAATACATTACATTGACAGTATCGTCCACCTTAACATACAGAACACACTAAGTCACCATATCGTCTTTAACGTATAGAACACATTACATCGACAGTGTCGTCCACTTTAACATACAAAACACACTAAATCACCGTATCGTCTTTAACGTATAGAATACATTAAATTGACAGTATCGTCCACTTTAACATACGGAACACACTAAATCACCGTATCGTCTTTAACATATCGAACACATTACATCAACAGTGTCGTGCACCTTAAAATACAGAACACATTAAATCGACAGTGTCGTCCACCTTAACATACGGAACACATTGGATCACATTTTCCCAAACACTGGTAATTAACACAATAGTGCAAGCAAATTTAAACACAGCCATATTTAATACACACTTTAGCCTCTGAAAAATAATGCCTAACAAACGTTACACACATCTTTTGTATGATGTATTTATGACAAAGCTACTAAAACTATGTAATGCCTTACAAACGTTACACACATCTATTGTATGATGTATTTATGACAAAGCTACTAAAACTATGTAATGCCTTACTAACGTTACACACATCTTTTGTATGATGTATTTATGACAAAGCTACTAAAACTATGTAATGCCTTACAAACGTTACACACATCTATTGTATGATGTATTTATGACAAAGCTACTAAAACTATGTAATGCCTTACTAACGTTACACACATCTATTGTATGATGTATTTATGACAAAGTTACTGAGACTATGTAATGCCTTACAAACGTTACACACATCTATTGTATGATGTATTTATGACAAAGCTACTAAGACTATGTAATGCCTTACTAACGTTACACACATCTATTGTATGATGTATTTATGACAAAGCTACTAAGACTATGTAATGCCTTACAAACGTTACACACATCTATTGTATGATGTATTTATGACAAAGCTACTAAGACTATGTAATGCCTTACAAACGTTACACACATCTATTGTATGATGTATTTATGACAAAGTTACTAAGACTATGTATAGCCATCTCTAATTTTGAGCTACTGATCAGACGGAAGGCAGCCAATCATCCACCAATCCAAGCAAATTGACAGAATGCCACTCTTATAAAGCACCCATAGTTTAAAGTGATTGAATTATTTTGGGGTATAGCACGGATGCGAACCCGGCTCCGAAATCCAGAGCTCTACCAAACAGCCAATCCGTGCCCACATGTATATGTATATAGTATTAGCTCATCAAATGGATAAAAAGATAGTTTTCTTCACAAGTGATATCGTGCTAATGTCTCAACCTATAGAGTATATAATACATGTAGACGTTTAATTAAAATATGTAATAAACAAACAAAAAATGTGCACAGAAGTTATTTGACTTTTGTAATAAGCGGATTCATTTGCACTCAACTTATAAAACACAACACATTTGTTCAAATACATTCTTTAAAAGAAAAGCGGGTAAAATCGAGAGATCGTTTGATAAGATATAAACACTTTAATTTCTTCAGTTTCTAAGCTGTCTTCTGTTGTTCATTTATAATAGTATCAGATATAGCTATATAAACATGAAGAGATAACTTACTCTTCATTTTGGCAACATTATAAATATACAGACAGACGGACAGATAAGGCTCTACTTACAAGTTCAATAACCTTGGAGCACCGCGAAGTGTTTTCGCTCCGATGGCGGTCAGTTTGTTGTTACTGAGGTCTCTGAAACGAAGCAAACAACAATAAACAACCGTAAGAGTGTTTCCTCCAACCTATAAGTATGTAAAGAAAAGTCAGCTAACATTATACAGTGTGACCGTAAGTCCTGACAATTTCGAAGTGACTTTATTAAAGGTAACCAACGCAGGCGCACCAAGGATCTTTACAACATATGTTTCATTAAAATACTTGTTCAGGAAAAAGGGTTCACAAAAGTTGTTAGAAGGTACTCAGACATATCTAAAGCTGTAACATGTTAGTTTAGATACATTAGAAGTTGATAAATAAACAAGTTATCCCTATGCTCTAATTAGAGCAAAGTTCGAGATTCGTGAACATTTGGCATGTGGTATAACTTTACTGTTTGTTTAAACTTTTATTGGCAACTGGCTTTAAAGGTTAGTCTGTTATAAGTTCAGGAAAGAGAACGTGTGTAAAAAATAAAAAGGGTTATCATCGTTCCACTCTTCGAATTAACTATTGCACCAAAAATGTAAGCTTTAAGAAGAATTCTTATTATTTCAACGCATTTAAAATCGAGAGGAAAACAAAAAATATTTGATGAAGCGCTCACGGCTTTTTCCTCTGTGTTGGTGGGCTGTCGGTAGCTGGGCGATGATGTCCTGGGGAGACAAATGATGGACACAGTGTGTGTTTGTGTAATAAGACACAACGTGTTGGGTGATCTTTACAAGATCGCTTTAAAGAGGACTGTGTTACTTGGGTTTCCTTGGGACATCGCTCATGGATATCTTTGTCACTCATTGTAGTTAAAAAATATTGTAAGAGTAAACAAGTAGCAGTTAAACAATAGTGTACGAGTAAACGAGTAACAGTTAAACAGTAGTGTACGAGTAAACACGTAGCAGTTAAACAATAGTGTACGAGTAAACGAGTAACAGTTTAACAATAGTGTACGACTAAACATGTAGCAATTAAACAATATTGTAAGAGTAAACACGTAGCAGTTAAACAATAGTGTACGACTAAACACGTAGCAATTAAACAATAGTGTACGACTAAACACGTAGCAATTAAACAATATTGTAAGAGTAAACACGTAGCAGTTAAACAATAGTGTACGACTAAACACGTAGCAATTAAACAATATTGTAAGAGTAAACACGTAGCAGTTAAACAATAGTGTACGACTAAACACGTAGCAATTAAACAATAGTGTACGAGTAAACACGTAGCAGTTAAACAATAGTGTACGAGTAAACGAGTAACAGTTAAACAATAGTGTACGACTAAACACGTAGCAATTAAACAATATTGTAAGAGTAAACAAGTAGCAATTAAACAATACTGTAAGATTAAACAAGTAGCAATTAAACAATACTGTAATATCAAACAAGTAGCAATTAAACAATACTGTAATATTAAACAAGTAGCAATTAAACAATACTGTAAGATTAAACAAGTAGCAATTAAACAATACTGTAATATTAAACAAGTAGCAATTAAACAATACTGTAATATTAAACAAGTAGCAATTAAATAATACTGTAAGAGTATGAGTAAAGTTGTCAGAGATAAAAAAGATATCGTACGAGTATACCAGTAGCACATAAACAATACTCTAAAGAGTATAAACAATATTCTGACAATTTACTAGTAAAAAAGTAAACCATATTATAAAAGTATACTTGTAGCAACTAAACAATCATATTTGAAAAACTTTTTAAACAGATAAACAATATTATTTTAGTCAAACATGTATGATTTGAACCTACTTATTTGTTTTTGTTTGTTTGTTTTTGAATTTCGCGCAAAGCTACATGAGGGCTATCTGCGCTAGCCGTCCCTAATTTAGCAGTGTAAGACTAGAGGGAAGGAGCTAATCATCACCACCCACCGCCAACTCTTGGGCTACTCTTTTACCAACGAATAGTGGGATTGACCGTCACATTATAACGCTTCCACGGCTGAAAGGGCGAGCATGTTTGGTGAGAAGGGGATTCGAACCCGCGACCCTCAGATTGCGAGTCGAGCGCCCTAACCACCTGGCCATGCCGGGCCAACATCCCTTGTTTTTAAAACTTGTAACAGATAAACTACATTATTTGATTAAATGAACAATGCTTGAGCATTAAGTTATATCAGAGAACCTATGGTAGTTTTGAGAAAAATTTGTAGCAGCTAAACAATATTATTTTAGTCAAACGTGTATGGTTTGAACCTACTTATTTGGGATACTAGTGATAATTAAATAACATCCCTTGTTTTTAAAACTTGTAGCAGCTAAACAATATTATTTTAGTCAAACATGTATGGTTTGAACCTACTTATTTAGGATACTAGTGATAATTAAATAACATCCCTTGTTTTTAAAACTTGTAACAGATAAACTACATTATTTGATTAAATGAACAATGCTAGAGCATTAAGTTATATCAGAGAACCTATGGTAGTTTTGAGAAAACTTTGTAGCAGCTAAACAATATTATTTTAGTCAAACATGTATGGTTTGAACCTACTTATCTGAGATACTAGTGATACTAAAATAACATCCCTTGTTTTTAAAACTTGTAACAGATAAACTACATTATTTGATTAAATGAACAATGCTTGAGCATTAAGTTATATCAGAGAACTTATGGTAGTTTTGAGAAAAATTTGTAGCAGTTAAACAATATTATTTTAGTCAAACGTGTATGGTTTGAACCTACTTATATGGGATACTAGTGATAATAAAATAACATCCCTTGTTTTTAAAACTTGTAACAGATAAACTTCTTTGAAAAATTGAAATTTTTAACCTGAAAGGCATTTTAAAAGACACAAGGACTTAGGTATGACCGCCCATAGTTTTGAGGTACTGACCACAAAGAGAATAGCCGGTCACACTCAGGCCACAAGGGTTTTGTCTGATTCTTTTAACCGAATAACGGGATTAGCTGTCAGTTTTATAACGCACCCACAAGTCAAAGTACGAGCAAGTTGAGCAGCATCACGACTCGAAACTCGAATCTATGATCCTTCGAGCCCGATTTCGATGCTCGTGGTTGATACAGGACAGAGAGCTCATTGTTTACCTTTGTGCTTAACAACAAGCAATCGAAAACAAAATTCCTGCGATTCAAAACAACGTCTAATAAAAACTTTTCCCATCAATACCTTCCTTTTTTTTTTTTTGTTCATGAATTTCGCACAAAGCTACTCGAAGGCTAACTGCGCTAGCCTTCTCTACTTTAGATATGATAGACTGGAAGGAAGGCAGCTGGTCGACACCGTTAACCACCAACTCTTGGGCTACTCTAATCGAAGAGTGGGATTGGTCCTCACATTATAAAAGAATTGAAAGAGCGACGGTTTTTGGTGATGGGATTCGAACCCACAACTCGCAGATTTTACGAGCCGAGCGCCTTAACTTTAACTTGAAATTAACCTTAAGATGAACTTTATCTTCTTCCCGTGGCGCTAAATGTTTGTTATTTTCAGGGCTTAAACAAAAGAAACTTGAATTTCATAGCAATACATATATAACTTGTTTTTCAAGTAACCGGAAGGAAGGTGCATTTATTCCTTTCAAAAGTACTTTGAAAGTGTTAAGTTATTAGAAATATTTAAAGTTTAGCTAACTAAGTTTGTTATTAACGTTACGGCATGTAGGTCTATCTACCTCTCTGAATAACGTTTTACCTCAACAAACAGTGAACAAAGATGTTAGCACAGTCAATAATCATCTTCTTTCAGCTGACATTTCCAAGTTTACCAGTTTTATGTTCTAGTATACATTACTTTCTATCCTTCGTTTTAAAAATTAAACCAAAACAATTGTTTTTATTGTTTTAGGACAAAGCTTACGTAATGGATTATCTGCGCTCTGTTCTCCGCGGGGAATGGAACCCAGGATTTTAGCGTTCTAAGTCTGTAAACTTATCACTGACCCACCAGAGGATATAAAAACAGAAAATTGTCTCGAATGGGTCTCACTAAAATGTGTGAATTTTCCTTTTTAATGAGCGAGCGTGATCAAGTGGCGAACATGCTCGGGCTGTGAAACTGAGGGTTCATAGTTCGCATCGTATTGCTGCAAAAACGCGACCCGCACTTTGGGACCGTGGGTGCCAAAGCTACTTAACTAGAGGGAAGTCGGCTAAGACAACAGCACCCACCGCCACTTCTGATCAAGTAGTTGTATTTTACCATCACCCTTATAACACATTCACAGCCTTAAAGTTCGGAGAGTTAATTAATTAATTTTTTTAACAGGATACGAACATTGGACACACAGATCCATAGTCCAGCACACGAACCACAGGATAACGCTCGACCCAAAACCGTATTATATTGCTATGGAGTTATAGTATTATTATCTGTGAAATGTGATACGTTAATTCTTAAGTTCACGCTCGACAAAAAACCGTATTATATTGCTATGGAGTTATAGTATTATTACCTGTGAAATGTGATACGTTAATTCTTAAGTTCACGCTCGACCCAAAACCGTATTATATTGCCACGTAGTTATGTTATTATTACCTGTGAAATGTGATACGTTAATTCTTAAGTTCACGCTCGACCCAAAACCGTATTATATTGCTATGGAGTTATAGTATTATTACCTGTGAAATGTGATACGTTAATTCTTAAGTTCACGCTCGACCCAAAACCGTATTATATTGCTATGGAGTTATGGTATTATTACCTGTGAAATGTGATACGTTAATTCGTAAGTTCACGCTCGACCCAAAACCGTATTATATTGCCACGTAGTTATGGTATTATTACCTGTGAAATGTGATACGTTAATTCTTAAGTTATACATGTTATATGTATTTGTTTAATCACGGTCATTTTAACATTATAATCAAGATTTCATAAGAACAACAAGTGTGATTCCTTTCTTTTTTTTTTTCACCTCACCCCGGGGGATATTTGTACAGTGATATATCACTTGGACGATAAACAAAGATAACATCTACACTGCCAAAGCAAACAATGAGAACAAGCTGTTAAAAATAGATTGAATTTTGTTGGTTTTATTTCCTTAAGTA